TATTTACCCCCTCCTAGAAGAACGCAGTATAAAAAACCGAATACACAGACTTTGTAAAAAACTTTCCTCCCAAATACCTAACGAACACACGGCAAACTGGTCATCAGATATTGAATCCGTCACATCTCAATCATCCTAAATACAATAAAAAGAAAGAAGAAAAAGAAGAAGAAGAAACACATAATGAAGACAATCATACAGTGGAATATCAATGGTTATTATACACACCTCGAACAATTCCAAATCATGCTGAAACAACAAAACCCTGACATAATATGCATACAAGAAACCAATTTTAAAATTATCACCAACACTAATGTACTAAAACACTTTTGTAAAAAACAGAGAATACGAACTACACGCAAGCGGAGGTGTATCCATCGCGGTATCGGACAAATATTGTTCGACAGAAATCCCATTACCCACTAATATACAGGGTGTCTGAAAAGTGTCTCTCTTCCGGGAAATGAAGGGTTGCTGGGGTGATTTGAAACCACTTTTTCCTTAGTGAAAATGTTAGCTGCGGCTTTGTTAACGAGATATTAACGAAAAACCCGGACCACTCAGAGCGCGAGTTGGCCGGCCGAGTTCCCGCGCTAGCGGTGGCTACGCGCTATGCTTGTACTATGACGCTCTGAACAAGCAAGTTGGCAAGCATCCCAGGAAACCGCGTATAATAGTAAATAAGAAAAACATAACATATCGAACTTTTTATCATCTTTCGTTTGCCATTTAAAGTGATGAATGAATGAAACATAAATGTAAGAAAATCATGTGTAACGTAGAAAGACGAATACACAATTATTTTAACTTTTAAATTTCCTTCTCAAATAACGTATTAACGAAAAGGTAATGTAATAGTGATCGTAGTTCGTTATTGACATAAAAATCCGTAGTTCGATAACCGGCTACAGTGATATTGATTACAAATAATTGTCTTTAAGAAACCCGAAGAAAAATGTACGTACGGAAACTTGCAGAATTATTGCCGTGAAAAAGTCATAGGTTGCGTTAAATTAAAAAAATAATAATCAAGAGTAAATTGAATAGACCTCACCCTTTCGGATATCCATCTGCAGGTTGTAGCCCTATGTCAGTAGGTCACTATACCGATCCTGCTCATCGACGGATGAAATGGTTTATGGTTGGTGAGAGCTAGTGTACAGCTGGTTGCAGGTACACGGCACCACCGAAAAACGTATTGACAAGTGCGGTCGAGTCAACGCACTGACGGTGTTTATTTCACTGTACGGTCACTAACACTATCCACTTGTCGGAATCATATTATTTACTTTAAATAGTTTTGTTATTTATCGTGTCGCTCCTACCTTAATTTATTGTTATAGAGGAATGTGTTGTTCCTACGTTAATTTATTGTTATAAAGGAATGTGTTGTTCCTACGTTAAGAAAAATACCAAAATATTCGTGCGACGAATACATGTTTCACTGTCACTGAATGTCACGAGATACTGTCTGTGATTTTTCCTAAGGAGGTTCTTCTACCCCCAAAACTCCGTAGTAAAACATTAGGTGGGAATATGTTAGGAACAATGACAATTTAGGACGGTTTCCCGATTGCGGACCGCCTACGTCACGCAACTCGCAAGATGCGAGTGGGCAAAAAACCAATGCACAATAACTGCTCCTCTCGAAACCACCCTTGAAGTCCTATAAATTTACCAACGAGAGTGCCAGCCAGATCCTCCAGGAACAATGTCCTTACTCTCAAGGCAACGCAACATCGCACTGTTGGCTATCTCTAACTTTCACGCATCTGTTTCACATAAACATTCTTGTAGGCCATCGATAGCCGAAAGACCCACCGTGGTCTTTCGCGACCGTGCAGCGCCAGGTCGGTTTCGTCTCACGGACCCTCCTTCAAGATCGCACGTAGGCTAAAAAACCTTGTACATTCTCCAACGGTCCCTGAGCCATAAGGTATCGGCTTGCGACGACACTTACAAAACATTGATGCTAACTAACGCACATGTGTTTTGCAGAAGTTCCATCGTACAATTTCACCAGAGAAAGGATGTGTTCAAGAAATACACCTTTTGAATTTTATTATTTTCATGAAAGTGGCTTGTGCTTATGAATTTATATCTCGAAAACTATTTATTGTATTCAGTTGATTCTTATATCGTTTCAATCGAGAAGGATCAACCTTTGTGAATAAATTTCTTTCAAGTCCAAAAATCGTTTTTAAATTCAATAAGGTTAAAAACAATATGAAAGTGTTAATGATAATTCGGCGGCATCTGTAGACTGGAAAATGTGAAAAGGAAAGGAGAGGGGAACGTTTCGTCCTGGGCCTGCTAGTGGACTCGTCGGTAAGGCTACCTAGCAGACCCTACCTTAGACGCGGGGATATACGATGGTCGGTTAAGGACGTATATATACGAACGAGGAAGGCTTCAGGTAATTGCGGGAAACGTGTCAACTCGGTAGACCTCTGATGGCGAATGTAGGAAGGAAGGTAGTGCCGCCACAATAATTTATAATTTACACAAATATAACAAAATTATAATATAATTATAATGTATAGTGTAATTCATAATTAAACAATTAAATATTTATACTTTCTTTGTTTTTTATATTTATATTATTTTGTACGTACGGAACTCCAAATTATTTCAATGAGATGAAAAACAATATCGTTAGGAAATCATAAAAGTAAAAGTGGTTTCAAATCACCCTAGCAACCCCTCATTTCCCGGAAGAGAGACACCCTGTAGAAGCAGTTGCAAACTCAACATCCCTACCACACAAAATCCACATCTGCAGCATTTACATTCCCAATAGCCACCCCTTTGAACTTGAAGACCTCGAAGTGGTAATTAATCAAATCCCAACACCGCTAATTTTAGCTGGTGACTGCAATAGTCACCACTCCCTTTGGGTGTCATGCAAACTGGACAGCAGAGGAAAAAAGATTGAGGAGCTATTCTTCACCGCTTTCCATGTCTTGCTCCTCTGTTGCTATTTCCCACACTGTTTCACCTGCTACCTATAACCGAACCTCCAATCGCTTTTCTTTGACCTTTCTTTGTCCTTCTTTTTCCCTTCTTCCCTCACCCTTATCCCTTTTGTCCCCTTCCCTTTCTACCTCTTTTCAGCTTTCTCACTCACTCTCACGCTTCTCTTTCACCTCCTCACACTATTATCCTTCTCTCAAAACTCCACACTCTCTCGAACGTCCGTTACCTTCGCGACCAGAAGCAGAAGTCCGATTGAGGAGCTATTATGAAACCCAAGTCTAATTCTTCTAAATACAGGAACGCCAACACACTTCAACAATAGCAATGGAACAATGAGTGCGATAGATCTAACGATGTGTAGTGCAAAACTAGCACAGCATATGAACTGGGAAGTCCTAAATCACCTACACCACAGCGATCACTTACCCGACAAAATAATCTACGAGGACAACATTTCCTCTCTCCAAACATCCTACCAACCCGAATGGAACGTTAACAAAATCACCTGGCCTTTCTATCAGACAAAGATTAACAAAGTAATAAATGAATTTGTAGAAACTGTCAAATCAGCGGCAAAAGAAGCCTCTGTCACACCCCTAACAAAAAAAGCAGGAGACAAACCATATCCTATTAGAACGAAAAGTGTAAAGCTGCTCTACGGGGAAGCCACCACGCTTTTAAACGAGCAAAAAAATGCCTCATTAGTGCAAACCTAATAGAATTAAAAGAATTAAGAGTAAAATTACGCAAAACCAACAAAGAAAGCCAGAAGGAAGCATGGAAGGCTTACGTATCATAACTATACAACTATACCATACATAACATATACAACCATAACTATACAAACACCGACCGAAAAGGTTGGTAAAAAATTCAAAGCATTCACGGAAGTCGCACATATCATAGAATTCAATTTCTAGAAACTGAAGACAATGAATTCATAACCCACCCCGATGATATTATAAATGCCCTGGCCGAACAATTCAAATTAAACTCGAGCAATGACAATTATAACTCATCATTCATAATCAATAATCCAGACAAAGACAATACCCTAAAAAAAATCCTAGAGCACACTGATGAGAACAAGATGATTCCAATACTAAATGCGCTAATATCCCCCAATGAATTAACCAGTACTCTCTCAACAACAAAAAATCCCGCACCAGGCCCAGATAACATCCAAAACAAACTATTCAAATATCTCGCACAAGCCGGAATAATATACTTCCACAAAATATATAACTGTATATGGACCCATCAAGTTTTTCCTAACAGCTGAAGGAAAGCCACAGTTTTACGAATTCTCAAGCCAAATAAGAACAAACACAAGTCAGAAAGTTATCGACCAATTGCTCTCGCAAACACTATGTGTAAATTACTAGAAAAAATTATTAACAGAAGACTTAGGTGGCACTTATTGTTAGAAACCAACAACCATTAACCTCAGTTCAGTATGGATTCCGACAATACCACTCTACAATAGATGTCTTAACTAATATAGAAGCTTGCATATGCGACTCCTTCCAGAAAAGCGAACATCTCGTTGCAGTATGCCTTGACATTGAGAAATCATATGATATAATCTGGAAGTCCCAAATCGTCAAAGCTCTCTTCGAGCTAAATATGAATGGGTATATGCTAACTTTTATAGCAAACTTCCTTAAAGACAGAATAATTCAAGTCCGAACTAATGGAACGATATCAAACCCCATAAAAATACAGAATGGAGTACAGTCTTTTTGATTGGCATTAACGCCAGCATAAAAAACCTAAAAAAAAACCCAGTAAAAGCCCAACTATACGCCGACGACCTCGTAAAAACTTGTAGCGGTAATAATCTTGACATTATATACAATCATATACAAACATCCATTAATCACCTTCAGAAGTGGTCCATCAAATCAGGCCTCAAATTCTCCCCTAAAAAAACCAATGTATTTTCTTCACAGAAAAATCAAAATGTAACACTGAATTAAAACTAGTAAGGGGAGAAACAGAATGAAAATTTTGTGGACAACATGAGACTTCTAGGATTGGTCCTAGGCAGGAAATTGACGTGGGTCTCATACATGAAACACCTGAGAGACTCGTGCATGAAAAGATTAAATGTAATAAAAGTATTAGCCAGCAATAGGAAATTTTACTGCAAACATATCGGGCTTTAATACGATCAAAAATTGACTACGGGTCAACCGTCTACGGTACAGCAAAAAAACATACTCTAAAAACAATTGAACTAGTTCACCATACGGCATTAAGAATAGCTACAGGTGTGATGCTACAGAAATGACGCTCGAGGGAAGAAGAAAATTCCTAAACCTGAAATGCACTTTGAAAATCTACTCCTCTCCAAATAACCCCAGCTTTAACTATATATTTTCCAATAGATTCAAAGAACTTTACTCCAAAAAACCTAAGTTACCATCACCACTTTACATCAGACTCAACAATATTCTAAAATCACCTATTATTGAATCGACTCCCATTATCGAACACAAGTAAGGAAAAATAGCCCATTGGATTATCAAGACACCTTCAATCAACACGGACCTAGCTGACTTGCCGAAAAGTCAAATAGATAGGACGGTACATAAAACCAAATTCCTAGAATTAAAAAATCACTAACACCGATGCATTAATATCCGACACAGGAGTAAGTTATGGTATAATCGCCAACAATGCAACAATAAAACTGAGTATCGCCAAACCTGGTTCAATCTTTACTGCTGAAGCTTATGCAATACTTGATGCTCTGAAATACGCTGGTACCCACAACTTCAAAAACATTGCCATATATTCAGACTCTATAAGCGTAATAAATGCCCTAACAAAACCAAATAACAAGAACAGCCATGAAATTATAACAGAAGTACTCGAAGCATACAAAGAACTAAATAACGACAATAACACGGAGGTATATATCATCTGGACCCCTTCGCACCAAGGAATAACGGGAAACGAGGACGCAGACAGAGCAGCAAAAGAAGTAACAACCCTACCACCAGCTGAAGCAACAACCCCAATACCACACCAGGATCTCATAAGTCACATAAAAAGCACCTTGAAAGAAAAATGGAACAAAATCTGGACACCAATGAAGAGAACAAAAATACATAATGTAATACAAAATTTCTACCAACCAATCCCTCTTTGTGGTTTAAATAGGAAAGAAAAATCCATCATGTTCCGATTAAGGACTGGCCACACTAAAATCACACATGAACACCTAGTCAAAAAAACTGAACAACCATACTGTATCTATTGTCCCAACGAAATCCTTACAGTTGAATACATCTTATACCAGTGCGGAAAAACTGAACTACAAAGACAGAAGTACGACATAAAACCAAACACAGCCTTAACAGCACAGGACCACATAAGAGGCACAATAAATTTTCTCAAAGCGACAAATATGTATGACAAAATATAACACAACAGACTCATCTCCATCGTTAATGACCTCGCAGTCGATACGACGTAAAATACACACGAACAACAACAACAAATTATTTCAAATGATTATTTCTTATTTTCATTGCAAATAAAAGTTGCTCCGGTATGACTGCAAACATCACCAAGTCCTAAGAACATGAAAAAGAGTGGGGACAGATGTGTAGCAGAGTGAATAAAGCTAGCAGAATTGCAACCCACCTCGAGACTATTGTCTTTGGGACGGAATGAGTTGTGACTGGGAGCAACGCCTATTGCCCTCACCAAGATATAGCGCGGTCGTAAATCACAGTGTTGAACGGGTCTACTAATGCCACCGCGTAGAGGATCGTGTGCGGCTTCCAGTTGTAGGCTTCCATGCAATAAAACGGAAAATCCTGTCGAACTAACTATAATTCATTTGCTACGAGGTTAACTTGCAAAATTCTGTTTAGTGTTTGGAATATTTGGAGGAACTTTATTTTTTCGTAGGCTGTTGTCGACAATGAAAACCTCAGAAGTATTTTCGATTTCAGTTGACCTAATACGGTACTGAACGTCGCTCGACTACTTTATCTCCATTTTGACGTTATAAATGGATGTTCTAAACCTCGAAACGTGTATTCTTTTTCGCTGGACCGATTTTACGACCGCGCTATATCTCGGCTAGCACTATACGAGTGTGGACTCGGACGTTACTGATGCAAAAGTCCCCACCCGTAGGAGAGGCAATACCGTGCAATTAGTAGGGGAGAGTGGGTGGGTTTGGTTCGTGGGAGGGTTGGGTCAGTTAGTATATTTCAATCCTTGTTACGCATACCTTATTCGTATATGAGTTGTTCGTTGTTACACTATGGTGTGTTTTTCGGAAGAAAAGCCCTCGGTGGTCGCCCTGTCTCGGCGCGTGGCTTGGTGGGGATCCAACGCGAGCTGCGTATTTCGTGCGACGTTGTCACGTCTGAATGCCACTGTGTGCCTCTTTCCATCTTCCGGCACTTCGGCACGAGAGCCTCTCGCTCAGACGCTCGGTAAACCAACTTCCTTCTTTACTCTGCGATTTCCACGTGTAGTGTTTAATAACCTACATATAAATTTAATCCCCTTTTAATATGTTGCTCAATATTTGGGTACAATATATACTTTCCAAAGAAATAAACTTTTTCTTATTCATGTGTTTTAACTCATGATGTGTGAAAACGTTCAGCGACTCGTCAACATTCTCCGCCATTTCCAGGCAATGGATGATTGACGGGCGCTTGCCGAACTGTAGTCCCCACTACTTGAGATTGTAGGCAGGTCCTTCTCGAGAGATTTGTAATACGTGCGATGGAGACAGACGACCGTAGACGAGGATGCACGTCGACGGTCGAACGTCATTGGCCAAGGCGCGAAGAGTAAGAGAGACACAAGTGCCGTAAATGTCTCGCGTTCGTGACAACACCGCGGAAAGTCTGGCCTACCTCCCAGAGCTCTTCTTTCGAAAAATAGACCACAGTAGGAGTATTCATAACCGAAGCGAGAAGTTTGTTCACAGTGTGAATTTAGTCTTGTGCAAATATAAGTGTATTTTCATGGTAAGTTTAATACAAATTGCTTACCGAAATAAATTGCTGCTATCAATTAATATAAGATACCTTATGCTAGTAAAACTTTTATCATCAACAATTATAAATTACAAATTAGAACCTGAAATACGTGGTTTGAGTAACACAGATTCATTACTATGAATGTTCGAATGCGGGAGGTGTGGGTTAGAAGTGACTAAATAACGTAGTTATTGGTATGTCCTAAAAGCTTCCATATTGAAATTAAAACGCCAGTCTTCCGTAAAATGATAATGCGCGTTTTAAAAATTGCTGTCACATTTCAATTTGGAAACTTTCGGGATAAACCGTGTATAATTAGAGTTACACTAGGTAATATACCCTGGTTGAAAAAACGCCTGGCTACCGTTTTATTGATAATCACAATTTGTTTACTCATTAATAATCGCAGCAAGTGGATACTCACCTTTAGATCTGTGATGGTCTGCCAGTCATGAACATGCCTGAATGTAAATGCTTTTGCGACTTATATAATTTAATATAATTTGTTGTTCCTTTTCAATTGGAACAGTTAAAAGTGTCTTTGATTGTAGCTATGGACACGGGAAGGTATGTATTAATAATTATGCTCATGCAATCGTGATATTGGTATGAATACAGTATAACAAACAGTATTATAAAGTAACTTTTCAGTACTCATATATTTCATAATCCGTTACTATACATACAAGGTGATCCATTTAAATAAGGCCACCTAAATGGTTCTTCCAATTGTCAGTGTCCAAAAAATATTTTATATGCAATTTGAATGGTTTCAAGGGCCAATATGCTGCAAGAATATTTTTTTCAAGGTCATGGTTTTCGGAATATTAAAGGTCGTCGATGTCTTTTTTGCACATATCTGCATATTTCTTTCTGTTCCATCGTATGGCTGATACAAGATATTCAAGTATGTATTATGGCATGACTTTGAAATGACCTTCGATTTCGAAAATTAAAGTTGAAGGTGAAATTTATGTCTATCGAGATCGCAGACTTTCTACAGACTGGTTGATCGCAAGTGGTTTTCTTCAAAAGTACTTTATTTTTCCTGCCGTTCGCATGCGTGAGGTTTGTTTTAGCCGCGTATTTATTTTCATACAAGTGATTGTTAGAATAATGGCGGTTGAGCGTCCTGGTTCGAGAGGATGTAATTTTGCAGCAGAGCGTCTTCATTGGGAGGGTGTGTCGGTTCGAGTATGGTTGCCTGGCAGTGATAAGTTTCATAGGAAAGACTGAAGTTATGGGTACAGTTGGCGACTTTCCTTCCGTTCCGTTCGTTCTTCAACATCCGGTAGTTAATAAAAATGATTCAAGTATGTGAGCCATGTGCGCTATATTACACCTCCTTCGAAGATATAACCCAGCAACCGCTGCGGGTAGAAATGATCAAATTCAGGTCTATGAATCGTAATACAAGTTGTAAGAACTGTAATTTGTTTATTAAAATTTGTTTCCATGTTTAATCTGCTACTAATTGCTGTTTTGACGTCTTGATTTGAACTGTCAGTCCTACTGTTTCGAACTTTCTCTTAAGTATTCAGACGCAAGTGTTTATGATGAACTGACGGTGTTAGTTTATTCTTAAAATTGGAATTTTTAGGAACATCGTGATTATTTCAGGACGAGGTGGATGCGAGGCAGACCGACTTAATGAAATGGCCACTTCTAAGAACTGTTTCCCGTGTCGTCCAAGATGTCTTGAAAGTATCATTGTACGTATCGAAATTGCTATACGGATCGAGAAATTGATATACATATTTCATTGCCTCATGTTTATATTAGAGAACGATTGTTGAAGAAGTGGGAGTTGTTTCAAGAAACGGAATGCATGTGGACAGATTTGAAAAAAAAATAGGAAGATCCTTGTTCTCAGAAATATATGTTCACCCAAAATGCGCGACAAGTATACTGTATTTTATTTTATGTGCAAGAACACATTTTGATAAGTCTTTTTTTGATGGTAAAATGTTAAGAATATAACACAAGTATTAAACTAATAGTCGAAACTCTAGACTTTATTTGTTATTTGCTAAATTCCACAATGTTTCCCCGAAGAAAAACTAATAATTCGAAGTTTAATCATTATTTGGTAACCTGTTGTTTGCATCTTCAATGAAGCTATGTTAACGTGGAAGTACTGCTACACATATATCAACAAACTGATTGCGATGATTCTGTCATTGTGTTTCAACTGCATCTTCTAGGCCTTGCTTGAGTAAAGTGAAGTACGATACTGCGGTACTCACGATCTGTAACAAGTGAACAGGTTATTGTACCGTACGCGGCTGCTCCAACTTAGTTGCCGAACTCTTCCGCGTATCTCAAACGTCGGGTTAATGATGTTTGAGTGTATTGAAACGCATTGCGATGTAAGTGGACTGTATAAATTTATTTACGAAACAATCAATAAGGCTGTACTATGGTTGTGAGGTACTGTATAATAAATAGTTACAAGAATCTATGTCTATCGGAGTTGATGTGTGCTGGTAACTGGACAGTGTTGATCTGACTAGAAAACTAGTAACGAAAAGTCTCTCGGTGGACGTGGCGCTGGTGGTGTGTTGACGCGTAGGTGGGAGGCGCAGTGAATATTTTCATATTCTTATTGGCTAAAATAAGCTACAAGCCCTGTGATTGGTGGAAAGTCTTTTTCTATTATACTCGACGGCAAGGTAACGCCGATTCGCGCGGAGACCGGACTTCCGTCACAGGTAATACTCGCCCACATGGCGAACACTCTTTGCCTGACTCGAGGCATAAAGGGTCGTAAAGCAATTAAAAAAAGCCCGAGTTTCGCAGTTTGGAAATTAATGAAAAACCCAATGACGGTGAATTGACCATAACGGTATTTCTAAAAACTGTATACGCGACGCGACAGTTATTAAAGCATTTATATGACAACAAAGTCGTGATACGATGATGATTTAACCGAGATCGTGAAAATAATGTCGAGAGGATTATGTAGAGATGATACTGGTGTTGAAATGACTTAAAAACTGGAGTATCAGGTAAGAAAACAAATATAACCTTACACTTAACTGGAACTTACACGAGTGATCTGTTTAGGACAAGTGATGTGCTGAGAATAAGATGTTAAAAGCTTTGTGACTGACTGTCGTGTTGAAGTTATTGTGTATGCGTTAGTTGGAGAAATGGATTTGGCGGTAAACTGTTGGCTGAAGAATGTGAAAAGGAAAGGAGAGGGAGAGGGAGCGTTTCGTCCTGGGCCTGCTAGTGGACTCGTCAGTAAGGCTACCTAGCAGACCCTGCCTTAGACGCGGGGATATACGATGGTCGGTTAAGGACGTATATATACGAACGAGGAAGGCTTCAGGTAGTTGCGGGAAAGGTGTCACTCGGTAGACCTCTGATGGCGAATGTAGGAGGTAGTGCCGCCACAGTACCCCCTTGCCAGTGATGAACGATATCAGAGCGAGTTCTTCTTCCTAATGTCAGTTCGTGTCGAATCCTTTTTTGAGTACCAGCGAGGACGGGAATGTTGTGAGCGGTGCCTACTCGATGACGATCTGTGTGAAACTGCGTTACTTGTAGCGCTCTGGTCGTCCGCTGACTCTGCGTCATGTCGTAGCGGGTATTGTTGAGGCGCTGTCGCTGTCGTCCAGCTGCAGGAAAACCCTGAATGGCGAGCACGTTGCTCGTGCCGAAGATGCAGGATCGTCGTGGCCAGGCGCGTCGCCTTGGAACCTTATCGAGCCGTATATGCTGCTGTCCTAGAGTGGCCATTGGGAGGGTGAAAATCGTGGCGCCGCGTGCTCCTCCGTGCGTTGCTGATGGCCATCCTAGGAGAGGGATTACGTAGTCTCGGCAATTGTAAAGTGATGTCCGTCCATCCTTCTGGTAGGCGCGTCTCTTGCGTTGTAGGCTGCTCCTCGTTGTCGGTCGGTCTCCTTCGTCTGCTGCGTATGCTCTTCTCGGGGTCACCAATTTGGCGGTAAACTGTTGGCTGAAGAATGTGAAAAGGAAAGGAGAGAGAGAGGGAGCGTTTCGTCCTGGGCCTGCTAGTGGACTCGTCAGTAAGGCTACCTAGCAGACCCTGCCTTAGACGCGGGGATATACGATGGTCGGTTAAGGACGTATATATACGAACGAGGAAGGCTTCAGATAGTTGCGGGAAAGGTGTCACTCGGTAGACCTCTGATGGCGAATGTAGGAGGTAGTGCCGCCACATGGACATTTTAGGAGGAAAGCTAGACGCAGCTGACGTGCAATAAGTTTTTCTTTCACTATTTCTTGTGCTATGAGAAATTTAAGAAGATATAAGGATGTGGGCAAGGAATCTTGACGAATGGAAGGTGAAAGTAGGAAGGGTGGTAAACATGGGTGACCTAGGGGATGGTGCGTACCGATGTGTAGGGTGATTTATGATTCTCTTCTTGCTAAAGAATTTAGGATGGTTGAAGTTTGGTATGCAGATGTACAGTTCTGCAGTTTATGATATAATTCGGCGGTGTTGTCATCGAACACGTAATTGACCCGGCAGTGCACACGTGAACCTCTGAAACAAGGATCCCACTCGGGGTGCTTGTGGACCCTCTGTAAAAAGTGACATTTATGGACATTGGTAAGTAAAAATCTGTCTGTATTATGGTTCTTTCTTAAAACTGAAATAGTATCGCTCTAAATATGTACAACCATTATTTCATACTGTACAACACAAAATATTAATAAGGAAACACTTTAGAAACGAATCACCTATACATAACCGAACCACAATAAATATCATCAAATAGCACACAGAAGGCTTAAGACAGATTCAGAATAGCCGTAAAATGAGCGTCTTCAAGGCGCCATGTGTTATCTGGCGTTTTTCGTGGCGGATCCATTTTAAAACATGTTTCGCAAACATTTTTTACTTTTTGAACACACTCTTTTTATAACATTTGTCACAAAAAGACTTTGTTTTTATATTCTTTACTTCTGGGAGAATGGTGTGTCTCCATTTCGTTGCTGTTTGCGTTGTCGCAAGAAGAACTTCAGCAAGACCAAAAATTTCCAGTCTACAGCATTTAGTATCCTTTTGGCGAATTTGTTTCGGCATGTGAAAATTACTTAATTTTTTTCGTGATTTAAAACTAAACCGCGTGTCGACAGAATTGCTAAAGAAACAATAGACGTTAATAAGTTTCTTTGGGGGCTAGGATCTACTGGACTTTCATGTGTGCACTGTCGGCTTTGGCAGCTTCGAAATGATTTTTAAATGCTGAATGCTTTGTTTATGCGACCGTACAGGATTACACAGAAGTCTTGAATATTTAAAAATTAGCATGTATGCTCAATAATATATTATCAATATGAAGGAAGGTCTAGTGAAGGTATGTCCACCCGTGAACTTTTCAAACGGTACTTTCCCTCTTTACAGCTAGTAAAATAAGTAAATAAATAACACGACTGTAACTGACATAATAATGGTAACGACGCAGCATAGGGTGCCTAAGCTACGGGGTTTCATGCGGAGATCGTATGACGTGTTACGCACTGATCTTGATAAGATTCTATCGGGAGATATTAAGCAGTTGAGATTCAATCGAGATTGAAATCAACTAGATATTCAACAATAAATATTGTATTTGGTTAAGCAGTGATTCAAGAAGTCTATTGAATTTCGCCAGTATTTGAAAAAAAGTGTGTTGACACAGTGGGAACTGTTGTATCTTCAGTACCACGATGAAATTTTTATTCATAACTTCACTTAACATTATCTATACTTATACTCTCACATGCTTTTGAACTCATCTTTTTAAAACCGTTCTGTAATGCTTTATCAGAATTTGTGCGTAACACAATTCTTGAGAGGACTCAAATATTTCTTTAAGCGTAATACTCATATACAGGATCAATCATTTAAATCGATCTCCGAAAATATTCTCGAAACCGTTGGTAATACCGAAAAATGTTTCAGATGAAGGTTGAGTGGTTTTGAGGAGTAGATAATTCGATGGTAGTATTTTTTTGTAGGTGGACACGTACAGGACATACAAGAATTAAGTGTTTTTTTTTAAACGGAATCATATTTTTAATGCATTCCTCGATGTAATTGTTACGTCCCGCGTTGCGGTCGTTACTCTACTTATAATTTCGGGTCATGGCTCTTTTAAGGTGCTAAAGCACGCCCTGTCTAAACTTACCGGTGAAGTACGCGGTTCGGATTTAGAACGGGAGGAATAGGAAATCACTCTCGTTTATAATAATAATAAAGATATATTCT